ATGCAACCATTGGCTGTTCGGTTTCAAGCTTCGTTTGAAGAGTACATATCAATAAACACATTTCTACATATGAGCGTTTACAAATTGAACACTCACAGAAGAAAACTGCTTCTGAAACGTGATCAAATTTTCAGCGATGTTTTATCACTGGACTTAGTTACTCGACGGACTCTGGCAATAAATCTTTACTGTTACTTATTTTGTTGATACATTCGAATCCATTCTATACCTTTATAGGTCAAAATTATCAAAGTGAATGTACCAAAGTTCGTCAAAATGCGACCTTATTTCTTTTCTGTTATCTTTTCGTTCCACTTTAGTATACCCTGATAACAGAAAAGAAAAAATGTTAAAACATTATCTATAAAAATCCCAACTTAATATCTTAAAAAATTAATAAGTGCCCAACACTATCTGTGATTGTAACGTTTTTTATTATAATACCAAATAACGGTATGAACAAGTCGAACGCATGGTGGTAAGCGACACGCCTATCCATAACAGTTGCAGTGGCACTCAGAACTTTAGATCGCAAACATCTTAGTCACCCTCACCGTCACCCTGAGACACAACTTGACAAATCACAAGTGTCTAAATTTTACCAGTACCCTTACCCTTCCAAACCGGAACGCAGTATGGTGGCTGTACTTCCCTGGACAAATTATTCCACAAGGAGCTCAACTGCTACTTGAAGTAAAACATCATTGACGCGTAACAGCAGTGCTTCTACATGAGCGCTACCATTGTTATACGCGGCAATTGTCGTAGTAGTAAGTGAAATTTAGTAGGATATAAAGTCTGTTCTATAGCTGTGTGGATGTATCATGATTTATTTACCAATTTGCCTCTCTCTAAAGGCGTTAAGGCCCAAATATACGATTTGACAATTAGTGCGCCTTGAAATTAAATACTTATAAAAGCGGAACAGTGGCGCCACTACTAATTTTCATGTAATATTTAGAAGCGCAATTGCAGCGCCACTATTCTTACTCGCGCGAGTCAAATTTATGAAGCACTACAGTCGCAGGGTTTCCGCGCCACTGTCGCATTCCGCATATTGAGGAAATAACAAACACGGAACAAAATCAACACGCCGTCTCTCCACTGCAAAGTGGCTTCCAGCCCGCCTGGTAAAGTGGGACTCCGCTCAGAAGAACACAGCCTGCATAGACGAAACGATGCACGACTAAGGAGCTACTGCCACCATGGGTAAAGGAAAATTAGACGAAATTACGAAGCTGTGCCCACCACGAAGCCGCGCACGCCACGAAACACGCGCCCGCCACTAAAACACGTGCCCACCAAGAAGCCGGGCACGCCACGAAACACGCGCCCGCCACTAAAACACGCGCCCGCCAAGAAGCCGGGCACGCCACGAAACACGCGCCCGCCAAGAAGCCGGGCATGCCACGAAACACGCGCCCGGCAAGGAGCCGCGCACGCCACGAAACACGCGCCCACCACTAAAACACGCGCCCGCCAAGAAGCCGGGCACGCCACGAAACACGCGCCCGCCAAGGAGCCGCGCCTGTCACGAAACACGCGCCCACCATTAAAATACGCGCCCGCCAAGAAGCCAGCCACGCCACGAAACACGCGCCCGGCAAGGAGCCGCGCATGCCACGAAA